CAAAAAAAAAAAAAATTAAAAAAAAAACCACGCACAAAAAAACCGGCAAAAAATTAGAAAATAAAGGCAAGCGGGTCAAACTTTGCAGAAACTCGTTCGTAGCCTTTCCCTGCCCCCCCCCGCCCCGGCTGCCCGGGCATGACAGCGGCTCCGCCAGCCCGGCGGGGGGACCGGGCACCGGGCTCAGCCCCCCCCCGCCTTCCCCCTGCCTCCCCGTCCTTCGCCCAGTCCCATCCCTCCCCCTCTATTTCGCTTTTAAACTGCAGCTGTTGAAGCTAAACCTCCTTTGCAAAAAAAACCCCCAGCATTTCCTCCCACTCCTCCGCGAATTGTGGGTAATGTAGTTTTTTTTAGAAACGTCTTTTTTTCTTTTCTTTTTTTCCTTTTTTTTTTTTTTTTTTTTTTTTTTTTTTTTTTTTATTTTTTTTTTTTTTTTTTTTTTTTGGATTTAATCGCACTGATTTTTCTCTTGGTTTCTCAGATCAGCATTTTCCTCTCCCAGCTGGAGCTCGGTCGGTAAGTTCGGCGAAGGGATGGTCTCCTTATTTGCAAAACCTGTAGCCCCAGGCTGGGTGGGCTGTGATTCAAGCGACTGGAAATGCAAAGCTCTGGGCAGCAGCAGCAGCAGAGGCTCTGAGGAGGAGCTGGAAGAAAGAGAGAGAAGCGTCTGAGGCAGCAGCAGCCCGTGGGAAAGTTGTGAACTTCTCCTACAGCCCGTGGTAGGAGGAACGTTGCTGCCTGGTCCCACTGACCATCAGCCCATGGAGGAGCTGGATTTCAAGAGCTGAGCACCAGGTGAGGTGTGTGTCCTTGTGGGATCCTGGGCTGCGTAGGGGAGAGTGTGGCAGGAGGTGGAGGGAGGTCATTCTCCCCCTCTGCTCTGCACTGGGGAGGCCACAACTGGAATCCTGCCTCCAGTGCTGGGCTCCCCAGTTCAAGAGAGACAGGGAACTGCTGGAGAGAGTCCAGCGTGGGGCAAAAGAGATGATGGAGGGATTGGAGCATCTCCCTGATGAGGAAAGGCTGAGAGAGCTGGGGCTCTTGAGCCTGGAGAAGAGAAGGCTGAGGGGAGACCTCCTTAATGCTTCCAAGTATCTAAAGGGTGGGTTGAGGGAGGATGGAGCCGGACTCTTTCCAGTGGTTCCCAGTGACAGGACGAGGGGCAACGGGCACAAGCTGGACCATGGGAAGTTCCACTCCAATCTGAGGAGGAACTTCTTTGGGGTGAGGGTGGCAGAGCCCTGGCAGAGGCTGCCCAGGGAGGGTGTGGAGTCCCCTTCTCTGGAGATCTTCAAGCCCCACCTGGATGCTCCTGAGTGATGTGCTCTGGGCAGCCCTGCTTTGGCAGGGGAGTTGGACTGGATGATCTCTAGAAGGTCTCTTCCAACTCTGACAATTCCCTGATTCTGTGATTCCGTGTGTCTGGCTTTTTGGGAGTAGCTGCTGTCCCTTGAGTGTGACGCAGGGCTCTGGGTGCGTGTGTCCTCTGTGGCTTGTTTCTAAATAGGAAACCTGGGGAACCCAGAGATAAAGAATTGCTTTGCTGGTGCCACTTGGGGTATGGCACAGCAGCACAGAGCTGAGGAGTGCCTCTCAGTCCCCCCACCCCGTGCTCTCAGCAGGCTCCATCAGCTCACACAGTGCCTGGTGTTTCCCAACACTGTGCACTTGCCATCTGCCCTCCGGCAGGGAGGAGAGACCGGAGCTACTGAGTGATCCTGACAAGTGAACGGGATGAGGGGGGGCAGGTTTGCTCCTTTCCACCCACAGCAGGTGGAAAAAAACCATAGCATATTGTTATCTTTTTCTTCTGTGTGTTTCTCAAAGTGTTTATTTAAAACTTCCCAATCTCTGTGAAGGGCACAATTCCCATCACAAGCCCTGCCACGGGTACCCAAACGGAGAGCACGCTCCAGCCTCAAACTTACTACCACGTAGTACAAGGGAGAATGAAATGAGCATCTCCGAATGAAATATCCAGTTGCTTCAGCAGCCTCCAGAAGGTGCTGAAATACTTTGACATTTCCAAGACTCTTTCACACTTTTCAAACAAGCTTGTCACAGTTTCTCGGAGCATTATGAATCCGGTGAAACTGCATATTCTGCAACTCTCGTTTCGCTGGAGCTTGAGCCAGGTCTTGCTTCGACTTGGCTGGGTCTGGTGTTCTGGTCAACTAGGAAATTGCATTATCTCGTTCTAATTAAATCAGCTTTTCATCTTCAGCTGGAGTTTTCTTTGGGTTTTTGGTCGTGCCTGTCTCAGTCGTGCCGCCGTGAGTGATTAAGGCATTAGCACACTCCACCCCGGAGTGGCTGCATTAAGCTGTGTGTGGAACGGTTCCTGTGCCCCAGAGCGTGGTGCTGGCTGGTGGAACTGCCCGAGATGTGAGGCCAAGCTGTGATAAGTAAGAATTAGGAGTGTTTGGTGATGCTGCGAGTTGCGTTTCCTTCAGCTGCTCGTTTGATGAACTTCTCCGTGTCTCCTCGGAGCTCCGTTCCTGCCATTGCTCCCCGTGGCACCACAACCTGCACGGGGCCTCCCTGTCCTTCTAGAGGGTTTTCCAGCTTCACCGAAAGGCAGGGTCTCCCCTTCACCATCTGAGCAGTGGCAAATAAAAGCAGCCCAGCAGTGGCCACACTGCGCTGTGCCAATGGGCCTGACTGGCACTGCTGCCTGTGCCCTAAGTACCGCAGAATATGATATTTTATTTTGGCCAAGCTTTCTTTTTCACCCCTGGAAGAATCCCGCCCAGGAGCTGCAGATTTCCTTGCAAGCACTTTGGCTGCGAGCGCTGCTTCGTGACCAGCCACGGCCAGGGGATGGGGGGGCACCAAAGCTGCCAGTGAATTGCAGTAAAAGGGGACGTTGCAGTCCCTCCCGTCCCACCTGCATCTCCAGCATGGTCTGTGTGGCCATGGTGGCCCCTGATGCCATGCGTGGCCGTGGCTACTGTGTGGGGAATTGTGGCTGGCAGCCCCCAGCCCTGGGGGCTGCAGGTGGGGTGGGCAGGCAGGCGGGGGGGGCCGAGGGGACGCCGTGCACGGAGTGTGTTGGATTTATCCTCCTGGGTTTGTCCATCTGGGCATTCTCCGTGGCGCTCGACGACTCTCATGGATCAAGTGTCAGGCCTGGAATAGCCCTGCCGGAGCAGGGAGCCTGTCTCCAGGTTTAGAGGGATATTTATAACCCCCCTGGGTTTGTGTCTGTTTCACGGGCAGAGCGTGTCTCCTCCGAGCTCACTGTGTCCCTTCGGCCGTGCCTGCAGTGGGACAGTGCTCAGCGTGGCCCCGGGGCTGGGACTGGGGACGTTTCCCTCCCTGGGTTTGGTTTCTCCTCTGGGACAGGCAGTGACAATCTGCCTGGCTGTAGGAGAGACCAAATGTGCTTCTCAGAGGGGTTTGCTGGCACTGACTCCATCCTGCGCAGCCCGTCCTCCTCCGTCCCCTTTGCTGGGGACCCATGTCCTGGGCTGGGTTCCCATGGGGAGACCAGGGCAGCTCTAAAGCAGAGAAATTCCCCCATATCGGTGTCAGAAGAGACAGGCACCGCGTTAAATTAACTCCCAGGGCTTTCCAAGGTCTATTTTTCCCCGTGACAACTCCCGAGGAAGATGCTCAGCATCCCCAGCACAGGGTGGGATGGGGGGGGACAGGCAAGTCTCCCTATTTCTGCAGGCTCCCAGCCACCAGCACTTCAACCCTCTGCTCACAGGGGGTTTGCAAGGAGCCCCACACAGCAGCAGGAGAAGAGGGAGGCCATTCGGTGGGGAGGCGACGGATGTAGCCAAGTTAAAGCAGCAGTGACAGTTATCTCCTGGGCTGCTGTCAGGTGGGTTGAGATTTTCCACATGCCTGGGAGCCGGGCAGGGGGGTGAGGGCAGGCAGATAGGGATGGGGTGCTGACTTCCCTGATAGTGTGAGAATGCTGCTGTGCAGCCGTGATGGGACAGGAGGTGGTGGGTGTCAGTGATGTGACAGGGTCTGGGCACGTTCCTGGGCTGCTGCAGCCCCAAATGGTACCTGAGGTGAAGGGGCCCGTGGTTCATGGGCTGGGTAAGGGTGTCTGGGGAGAGGACGAGCTCTTCCCCTGGCTGGGATCGTCATCATAGGCTGGGGGTAGGTTCCTGGAGGGTATGATTCAGAAATAAATTGACGTGTATTATTTTCCTTTGATTCATAAAAGGGGGAAAATATGAGGAAAACCCCTGAGGGCTCCTCAGGACCTCTGGCACTTGCTTGGCCAAGCACGGTCCTCGCTTCTGGCCTGTTGTCTGTGAGATGGGCACAAGCTGGGTGATTAGTTCATCTAGAGGATTTGCAGATCCACGGATAAAAAGTGTGAAGAAAGTGCAAAATTTTTCTTATTATCTTAGAAAGCCAATAATCACCTTTCGTTTAGCACTTAAGCTCTCCAGTGCATTTTGGACAGACGTTTAAAGAAACATGGGCTGGGGTGCCTGTGCAAATACTTACCTCTGTCACTGGATAGCTGCGGAGGCAAATGTCACTGCCACTGAGCGATGTGCCTGTTCTGCTCCTCGGTGCGATATTCATCTTCTCCGCTTCTCTGTCCATGGGGAATTTCCAGCCCATTTGCATAGGAATCATCTCATTTCTTGAGCGTGTGGGTGGTGTGGAGCCGTGACAGCCCAGGGAAGGTAACTCGGTGATGGCAGCCCGGGCGGATCTGGCTCAGGCGGTGGCTGCAGCGGGATGCCATCCTTCGGGCAGGAGGAGATGAGAGGGATGGTCTCTCCCAGTGATGCTCGAGGCTTAGATCCACACGGCTGTGGTTCAGGGACTGTAGCAAGGTCATTCAGACCTGTAAACTGGAGCTGCGAGAGCAGACGGGATGTTCTCAGAGGCTCTCCAGTGCAGAGGGAGATATCCCAGAGGGGTTCACCCCAGCTCCGGTTGGGAACAGGGAGGTGGGATGCTGATGGCAGCCGTGCACGGACAAAGCGATGGAGCACACGGTGCCGTGGCAGGAGGGACGTCAGGTCTTCCCTCTCCTCTGCGGGAGGACTCCCCAGGGCCTGGCATGAGCCTTCCTCCTCCCCATCCCACGGTACCCTCTCCCCTGGGGCCGGTACCTGGTGACAGCCGCAGCTGGGGGACGCGGCCACCGCCTGTCACCTGCTCTCAGCGTGGGACCTGGGATGCTGGATGACACGGCAGAAAGGCGTGCGGTATTGAGGCCAGGCTCGGCGCTGGGGGCAGGGAATTCATTAGAGGCACCGTGTCTCTTTTAATCAGGAGGCAGGTGCTGCTTCTCCTTGATCCGGGAAGGGGGTGAGTGATGGAAGTCGCCGCAGGGGCACAGCCTGAGCGGGGAGGGAGGATGGGGACAGCGATGTCTGAAAGGTGCCCGTACCAGGGAGGGGAGGGTGGTATTTAGGGTGCCCTGGCAGGGGGTGAGGTGGTGCAGAACGGACAAAAGGAGAAGATACCTGGGGAGAGATCCATGGGAGGGAAGCCCCCAAGCAATGCCCAGCCTTGGAGCTCACAAAGCGGGTGGCACAGCCCACCAGAGCAGCAATAGGGCTGCTGTGGGGAGGGGGGATGCCGTGGTCTCCTCCGGCTCCGACTCTCTGATCTTGAAATGTGACTTGGAGTGCCAAAAAACTACATTTCCCAGTTTCCCTTGCAGGCCAGGGGAATAAGCAATTGGAAGATTTAAATAGACCAGGATAGAAGCAACCAACCTTTGGCACAACGTTTTTCCCTCCTCTTCTTCCAATCTATTGGCTGTTTAACCTTTTTCCCTGGCACTGGAGTGGCTGCCAAGCCTGGCATTAATTTTCCTTCCAAGCTTGCTAGGCCCATGAAGTAAACAGCCATGTGCATTCCTTACTCTATATTTAACAGCTGCAGTCCGTGCTGGGGGCAACTGCAACAGAGGGGAACCTTTGTAGCTTCCCAAATTCACGGCTCGTGAGGGTGGGAGTAGGGGAAGCTCTCTGCAGGGAGAAGAGGAATTTCTCTCCTTCTCGGTGTTTGCAAAGCAGGTTGCGTTAGAGGGAGACTGCAATGCCAGCATCCCAGCCGCGGTCCAGGGCAAGAGACAGGAACAATGTCCTCAACAGGGCTGAGTTCCTCTCCCTGAACCAGCCCTTGAAAGGCAACCAGGAGAGCAGGAGCTCCAGCAGAAAGCAGAGCGGCCAGGCCGGGGCAGCCGGTGCCCAGAACAACAACCCCAAGGAGCGGCGGCAGTCGCAGCAGCTGCCCGAAGAGGACTGCATGCAGCTCAACCCCTCCTTCAAGGGAATCGCCTTCAACTCCCTGCTGGCCATCGACATCTGCATGTCCAAGAGGTTGGGAGTGTGTGCCAACAGAGCCTCCTCCTGGGGTGGTGCCCGCTCCATGATTAACCTCCTGGGGATAACGGGGCACGGGATCCCCTGGATTGCGGGCACCCTCATCTGTCTGGTGAAGAGCAGCACGCTGGCAGGCCAGGAGGTCCTCATGAACCTGCTGCTAGGTGAGTGGCAAACTTCCCTCCCTGCCTGGAAAGCCCAGCCCTGGTCACAAGGGACAGCGGCACCAGGACTCCTCCTCTGACGGCTCCTGGCCATGGTGTGGTCAGGAAGCAGGGAGTGACCTTTAGGGGGAATGCCGCACTTATCGGCTGTTTCGGTCCTGGGTACCATGTGGTGATGGATGTGGTTGTCTAAGAGGGTTGGAGTAATCCTGGTAGCTGGTGACACCCATGGAGTATGGGAAGGTCCCCAGTCCTGTATGGGGCAGAGTTGTCCAGTCAGGCCAAGGAAGTGTCTGTGATGTCCAGGTGGACACCAGCAGCGATGTGTTTTATTTAAGCTATGGTCATTTGCCTTGGTGGTTTGATAGGTGGGGAAAACATAAATATTTTAATCTTTGATATCTGGATCCATTCCTGAGGATATCCTTGAGAAAAAAAGGTTTCCATCCCCTCACCACTTTCTTGAACAGACTGTGTCTCCACATCTCAACTGCTGTGTGATGGAGTCCTGTCTCCTTCCCTGCCGCGGTTTGATCTCACATCCTCCTTCCCTTGAGGACCTTTCTTGTTGCTGTCCCCATTTCCATGCGCTAATTTGACCCAGAGGCCGTGTGCGCAGGCTGGGATCTCGCTGGCTCTCCTGCTACTCCTTTCTTGTGTGGTCGGTGTCCTTGTTTCTGGAGGTTGGGATGTGTTGAAGGAGTTGTCTTCTGAGTTGAGCAGGGCCCATCCTGCCCGGGTGGACTGATGTCCCACCAGTGACCAGGCTGAGCCCTAGGCGTGAATTGCCTTAGATCCTGGCCCCAACACATCTTGGCCATGTCTACCTGAGGACCTTGCTCTTTTCTCTCTTCTGTCTTTGGCATGGGACCCAGGTATCATACTTTTCCTTGTGACTAATCTCATCTGACTCTGATCAGGCCTAGTGTTTCACCCTCCCCCAAAACCCAGAAATCAGAGCTCCTGCTTTTGGTTGGTACAAGAAATTGAAAATACTGGATTTAGGCCTTTTGCTTCTCAGGGAGACTTCTTGGGAGGACATAGGGACATGTCATTTCAGATGCACCTCAGGAAAGGGACATCCTGTCCGCAGGGGCTGACTGCTACATGATACGGGCTCTGCAACATGGTCCCAGGGTATTTTTCACAAGTTCATCCTTCGGGGAGGGCAAAGATTGTGCCGAACTGGCTTGAAAAGCACAGTGGTAGCTGCCTTTTCTCTCCCCTCTGCCTTTGAAAAAGACAGTCCTCGTGCTGTGACATCTAATGAAGGGAGGCCATCACAGGGAAGAAGCCAGAATAGCATCGGCGTGATGCAGAGCCCGCCGACGTCAGCAGTTCTTCTAGGGGCTCCTCGGTGTGCTGGGTCAACCTCTCACTGAGAAAAGAAGCTCCGTCTAAAAGGGCACAAGGATGAAATAGTAGGTGACTAACATCAACTGGCATGGTTTCCAGATGTCTCTTGACCTGAGAGCCTTTGACAGTTTTGGGGCCTGAAAACTCTGACCTGAGCCTGAACTTCTTTGACTCCAAAATATTTGAGATCCTTATAAAGAGCTAATGCCACCTTTGGCTTAAAAACAAGAAAGGTTTTCTCGCCCTTCTGTTGCCATGTGAGGAGGCCAAGTGCAAAGCCACCTCTGAGTTGCATTGAAACTCTTGAGTATCAGGTGGTCTCTGGGAGAGCGCAGCCCTGCACTGCTCACTGCATCTCCAGGCCTCCTGAGCTCAAGTGTGGTGCCTGGGGGACAACTTATGGGGTTTCTGAAGTCTTGCTTCCTTGCCTAGACACACCATTCCCATCCTTCTCCATCTGCCAAAAAAGAAAATAGTTAAATTCGGTTAAGGACTAGTTGGTTTAAGGACAAGGTGACCTGAGAGCTTCATAGGTCTGGCAGCCTACAAAGAGCTCTACTTTGTCCTCTGAGTAGACAACACTAACTGGTGGGACTCATCAGGGTGCCCTGAGCCTCTCACCAGACCTTCCTCAGCAGGACTTGTGTCACCCCACAGAGCAGATCTCTGCTGTGAGTGTGGCCTTGGTTTGATATTTAAGATTGCAGTCAGGAACTCTGAAAATCCGAGTAGCTGCTGCCGTGATACCTGCATTGCTGATGGAGGAAAGAGTCTGGCTGGGGAGCATGGGGCTGGTGGACCTAGACAGATCCCATGAGGATCATGAGTAAATGGGAAGGGTATGGCATGACTGCTGCGTCTTGCGTCCTTGGTCCCTCTTGGTGCTTTGTTCCTGTGACTCAAATCCATCAGGATGTGGTGTAAAGTCCTCCTGGGTAGGGACGGGTCAAAGAGAAGGGAACTTCCTGGTGCTTCCCTGGTCTCCTGGGAAGAGGGATGGAGGCAAGTTGGGGTTGTCTACGGTACCCCTTCTTTACCTCTCGTGGCTCTCCTCCCTTCCCCCCCTGCTTGCAGAGAGTTTGATACATCAAGCAGAATTTCTGATGCAGTCTCTGGGCAGGGAGCCAGCCCATCATAGAGCACTTGTTTAGGATTTGCAATCAGGCTTTCAAGGCGAGGAGACAGGAGACTGCTGAAATGGGACTGGGAACCTGGCAGAAGCACCACTGCAGATGGGGGGGGGTGGGTGGATGGAGGGGCTCTTGGCAGGAGCTCTGCCAATCCACGCGGGAGCATTTCGGGTGAGGGGCTCTGACCCTGGGATGCCCATCCATCCCAACTGCAGATGTTGATTAGCAACCCCAAGCAATGTTTTCCCTCCGTGTTTGTCATCTGTGATGGAATTTATCGATTCTCCTTCTCATCGTAATCTTTTCCAGCAAATGCCAAACAGCCAGAGAAGCACGCTCACAGCCTGTTACTGAAAAGATGGAAGAAATCAGATAGCTGTGCCCACTGTAAAAATCCCTCTGCCAGGATGTGCTTTCAGGAAGACTATCTCAGCATTGCCAACCCTGGCTGTTGAAAAGTCAGGGAGAAAGTCTGCACCCACCGGCCAAATTGAGAGAATCATAACTCAGGAAACCCCCCAGTTTTAGAGTTCATTTTATTTGTCTGCCGGTGTTGGAACTTTTAGGACCATTCGAGCTTTTCTCTGCAATGACAAGGATTTTGTGAAAACTTTAAGTGCTTAGAAAATAATTTGAACCTTGCAATCGGGCTTTCAAGGGGAAAACAGATATAAAACTTTCACAAAAATTCCCGGATCTGCTCCAGAACCAGACAGAAACTCCATTAAACCCTGAGGGAAGCAGTACCTCGGTTTCTGGTTCTGATCCATCTGGTGAGGATGTGGATCCAAATTTAGTGATTCATTGACTGCAAAGGCAGCAAAGAACATTTGGATCATTGATCTAACCCACGGCAAAATACAGGCTGTGGCACATCCCTTAATTTATTCCTGTTCAATTTGTTAAGGGAAAAAACCCAAACACTCAATCTGATTTACAATTACAAGTGAGGGTGAACTTGTCAGAACCACTTCTGTATTACTGCAGTGGCAGGTATCCTCACAAGCTCCTTGCTCTTGGTTTGACTCCCCTCTTCCCTCCGTTGCATCTGCATACCCTCATCTCCTCAGCTGAATAGCTCTTTTAGCCAACATCTCTCCAGCCTTTCAACATTTTGGATAGTGCTCAAGTAATTTCTTCCTCTCCTATTTATTAAGCTAAACAGATTGATCTCGTTAGACTGATGGTCTTTCCAGGTTCCAGGCACCTTCTTACTGCAATGGGAAGGGAATATGGTCACCTGCCCAAAGTGGTGGCTCTGGTGAAGTCCACCTATGGTGCTTAGAGCCAAATCTCCACCTGACGCAGTGAACCTTGTTTAATTCACTGCAGACCAGCTGCGTGCCGTTGCTGTCGGAGGATATCTGCTTGGTTAACCCTCGCACGTAAAATATGTGTCTGTGCTCAGTTTGAAATACCAGCCATTAACTGGTTCTGTTTTGGTGCTGGCTTTCCGAAATAGCTATTCGGACTAGGAGAGGAGAAAGCTCTGCTCTTCTCCTTGCCTGCTGCATCCCCTGCGTCCCGCTGCTGTCTCAGTGACACAGGTCCCAGTCCTCATCCATCACCAGCCGGCTCTGCATCCCGCTTCGGAGGGGGAAGTGGGCTCTTTGGTGCTGTCACTAAGCATTTATCACCATCAAGTGAAGCAGTGCCGCGGGCTGCGGACGTATCGGCGCAAACAGCGTGGCAGGCGGAGGGTGGCTCACCACAGGAGGAGGAAAGAAGGGGAGCCCAGGGTCACTTCTCCACTCCTGAAGGTCAGCAAGAAGGCAGTTCTTGCTCTCTCCAGCCTTCTCCCTGAACACTGACCCAGCTTTAGTCTGACTGGGAACCAAGCCATGATGTTCCGAGGCACAGTCCCCTGCAGAGCCGTGACTTCATCCTGACCCATGTATATATTTATTTTATATCTATATATACACACATTTATAAATACATATATATGGCCAGGACTCTACAGTCCCACCCTGGGAGCTTCCAAGCAAGACCAGATTGGCAGGAAAGCAGTGGGTCAGGAAGGAAAGAGAGCGAGAAATGCCTTCACCAGGTCCCTCGAGACCCTGCTGACCTGCTGTCACGATAAGGAGGTCCTTCAGGTATGGTCACGCTTTTCTTTGGAGTCCGTGTGGTGAAAATCCAGACGGTGCAGCCCGTTGCTGGTAAAGGTCACCGAGTAGATTAACTGCCCAGGCAGTACAGACAAACTCGTCTTGTTGAGCCCCGGGGCTCGGCAGCCCAGAGCCAGCAGAGAGGCTGGGGAGCTGCACGGCAGATGGATCCATCCGTACGCAGCAGAGCTCGCTAAGCTGAGAGCCCCAGAGATGGTTTTGGGGCCAGATATGTCTATTTTTTGCCTTTCATTTTCCCACCGTGAGGCTGGGGATTTTCTGGGCTGGATGGAGCAGATGACATTTGGGCAGGGAAGGGGAGAGCAGCTCAGGAGCGGGCGCCCTGCCTGAACCATCTCCTCCTTGTAAAACCTGGCACATGGAGGAGGCTCAGCCCCCGTCC